AACATTTGCTACGGACTAACCTTGGTTGTTACTGCCAGCGGATGGACGATTGATTGGTTGAATAGCACCTTCTTGTGCAGAAGCAGCTTCGCCAGGTGCACGAGCACTGAATATTAGCATGTCAGATCAAGTCTTAAATCGGGGTTGAGACGTTGAAGTCGTGTAACGACGTTCATCGTAATATCTTGTTCCATAGCATCCTTTTGTGCATTAAGCTCTTCCAGTAATTTTTCCTTTTGTGCATTGAGCTTTTCCAACAATTTTTGTTGCATCCTCTCTTCCATTTCCTCCATTTTTTGTTCCATTCTATCATCAGTAGCATTTACAGAGGATCCAAAATCTCCTTTTTTCTTTTTTAAGACAGTTTTGTTAACTCCTCGTCCATACAATCTTGCCCGACCTGGGTGCTCAGGTCCCATGACTGATGCAAACGCGTCAACTGAATCACTACCATCTCCACTTTCTTGAGTTGATTGTATTCTCTCCATTTCAGTCTACAAACCAAATGCAAGAGAATATAATATAAGTAAATAAAACTAAGTCGATAATTAAGAACAAATAAATAATCACGATAATCTTTAAACTAGAAATTTCTTACAATTTTACTAATTGTATTCTCATAAGAGCTTTTGTATACTCGACCATGTTTTCTTTTTCTTGTAGCCACAAAGATGTCTTTACTTGATAGAGTATCTGAAGTATCAGCCATTTCCTTCTTTTTTTCCTAGTAACATGAAAACTGGTATAATAATGTTTTTATTCAAAGTTAGCAAGTTCATACTTAAAGAAAAATAAGAGAAAAAAATCAAACGTCGATGATTCGAGCAAAACTTGTTTTCCCAGCAGTGTGTGGATGCTTCAATTTTTTTCGATCCTCGATATTAGTTTCAGACGTTTTCTCCAAATAAACAAGCAAATGCATGTGTATATAAAGCCATGATTGTTCCATTCAAATCCATAATTAATACGCCTAAAATATAAACAAAATAATGATGCGGAAAAGGATATAATAGTTTTGACAGGATTATACTTGTAATGAACAGGGGAAGCAGGGCAAGCCGAGTGATAGATCTGATCCACTTCTAACAAAATAGGCTCAACAACATCATGTCTAATTAACTCAAATCTATGATTCCCAAAATGATGCATCACATTTTCTTTCCTCCCAGTAAAAAAATTACTTTTTCTTGTATTTAAATCTACTTTTTTTTGTATTTAAATCCTATAGGTAGGGTACAAGAAAAATATGCTATCAATAATTAGTAAAAATAGAAGCAAACACGGGTGGCAAAGAGCACATAGCAGCAGCAAATAACAAACAAATTCCCAGCCACATTGGGCCAATTCTACTAATGCATAGTGTTATTATAGATTATTAAAAGCTATTGAATAAACAAAGGGATTAAATATCTAAATATGCTTTGTGACTTCAACGTCCTCTTGGTTCCTCCCTGCACCCAGGCGACTCTAAACTTTGGCTCAATACTGGAATTAGGCCTTAATCTAACCTTGAAACCAAACCAGAACACAAAAGAACGCATATGCAACACACTTGAAGATTCAATCGAATTTTAGCTTATTACTTCCTAATAGCAGGCCTTCAAGTATTTGGTCCAAATAAAATTAGTTATGGAAGAGCATATTAAGATATACAACTGGATAGGTTTCATCACAAACAGATTGTTAACTTTTACCATTAGTTCCCTAAAGGCGGGATCTATAGCGTACAAAAATTACGACACACAAGTAGCTAGTGTTAAACACATACAGAGATTCAAATGACTTACCCTGGTAAATAACTTGGCATGCATTTCAATGGGATTTCGCACGGCATTCAGCATAGCCGAGGGCATACATCAACAGAATTACACCGTGAGAGTAAAAGAAGGCCAATATAAAAAGGGAAACTACTCTATTCCACAGACAACACTGAGCCGTGTAATATGATAAAAGATTGCTTACTTTAGGTAACTGAGTGCACTTAATTTGTAATCATTGGTAGATTTACACGGCTCAGTTTTGTCATCTACCAATACAAGAAATATTACTAATTCCCAAAATGATGCAGCCAACCCCATGTTCTAGATTTGTAATCTTTTTGGTAATTTAATTTCTTTTTATATATTTCCACTTTCTATTATTTGATTGGTCTTTCCTATTGCTTGCCTTGTAACTCAAAACCAGCTTGGAAAATTTGGAAATATTCTGGCAGATCTTGCTTGTTGGGTTGTGGATTTGGTTGGGTTTTTATTTCATTCCAAACTCATAATGTATCATAAAATGAGCGTCATGACTTTTGTACTCTGATATTTTCATCTCCTTCACATGCACGCGTTCTGAAATATTCGAAGCACACCCTTTTGGTAATTTAGCATTTTTCATGACAGTACAAAATAAATTTTTTTGTTTTGGTTCCATGTAGAAACAAGATTTAGCCAAACTTACAGTTCCATTATTGTTTGTTTTTGGTTGTAGCTCCTTTCATATCCCCATTTCTTGCAAGTCATAGCGAGAATTTTCATGGTCCTTTGACTTTCCATCTATTTCCAATAAAGTCCCGAGCAAACTATCACATATGTTATTCACAATGTGCATCACATCAAGATTGTGCCTCAGTTTGTTATGCACCCAATATGGCAATTCAAAGAAAATAGATCTCTTTTTCCATGGGCCCTTAGCACTCGGAGGCCTTTTTTTAGTTCCCTTTCCAAAGATATTGTTGAATTCAATCAGCTCTTCAAACACTTTCTCACCGGTCAAAGGAGCAGGTGCAAGTCTGTGCTCCTCTTTACCGTCAAATGACTTCTTATCTCTTCGGAATGGATGATCAACAGGCAAAAATCTTCGATGACCCAAGTAACACATCTTGTGACTATGTTTGAGATATTGAGAGCATGTGTCATAATTGCAAGTGGGGCATGCCAATTTCCCCTTAGTGCTCCATCCTGAAAGCATAGCTAATACTGAAAAATCACTAACTGTCCACAATAAGGCAGCACGCATTCGAAAAGTTTGGTTGGTTGCAGCATCAAATGTGTCTATCCCCGTTTCCCATAGTTCCTTCAATTAATGGTTGTAGGCACACGTCTATATCATTTCTCGGAGACAATGGACCTGGAATGATCATAGATAACATTATATACTCTGGCTTCATGCAAATCCACGGTGATATATTATAGTTCATTAACATAACATGCCACGTGCTATGAGATATGCTCATCGTCCGAAACGGGTTGAAACCATCACTTGAAAGACTCATTCTAACATAACGAGGATCGCTAGAGAAATCTGGGTGCAAAGAAACAAAATCCTTCCAAGCTTCCCCATCAACAGGATGTCTTATATTCCCATCATTGAGTCGTTCATTAGCATGCCATCTCATCGTAGCAGCCGTTTCAGGACACATGAATATCCTCTGAAGCCTAGGCTTTAAAGGAAAGTACCTTAAAATCTTTGTGGGGATTTTAGAGCTTGCATTAGTCAAAGGACCAACATTCTTCCATCTTGAAAACCCACAAATAGAGCAATTATCGGCCTTCTCATTTTCTTTCCAAAATAACATGCAATCATTGGTGCATGCATGTATTTTTTCATAATGAAGACCCAAATCTTTTATCATCTTTTTAGCCTTGTTGAAAGATTTTGGTACCTGAGCAAAGGAAAATGCCTCTTTTATCAACTCTAACAAATCTGAGAAGGCCACATTACTCAACCCATGCAAGGATTTAAGCAAGTACAACCGAATAGTGAAACTCAGTTTACTGAAATTTTCACACCCCAGATATAACTCTTGTTTTCCTTCCTCTAGTAATTTGAAAAATTTTCTTGCTTCTTCAGATTGTCTTTCCCCAGCTCCTTCTTCATCCCCTGCCTGACCCTCTATATTTCTAAATGTATCATGAAGCGTTCCATCAATATCATCACGCATGTTAGAACCTTCATCATCATTGCTTGGAGAAGGTATATTTCTCGAGGAAAATTCCTCCCCGTGGAAAACCCATTTGGTATAACCATCAACAAACCCATGAACAACCAAATGATCCTCCACCACATTTATATAATGTCAATAGATATTAATGCACTTTTTGCAAGGGCATAATATTTCATTTCCTTGGGCAGCTCGTTCAAATGCCTTATCAAGAAAATTATTCACTCCACCTATATACTCATCCGTCCATCTAAGGAGATTCATCCAACTTTTATCACCATAATCTATGGATATCCTATATAATATATTCAAATCACCGAAATTAATATTCAAGATAAGCAAGGTACAGCGATCAAGAAGGCCATACTTGGAGGTAAGAAAATAAAGAATCTACCTTTTTAGAGAAACTATACAATGCAGAAACAGATGTAGGATAAGGAATTGTGAATAAAAATTATTCAATTAAGATTGTGAGATTGCAAAGTTAATTACACAATTCACTTTTCTCTATCAAAAGAAAATTGACACCTAAAGGATAAGATCTCCTAGCCCTTGGTTGAGATTGAGCGGAAATTGGAGATATGATATTTAATTTCACATGGAAGGCTGAATAATTAGAACGTGAACAACATAATATATTAGTTCAACAAAAGATCATACAAAATATTATTGATAGGTCTAATACTGAAATAGATTTGCATGACAAAAACAAACATATTTAACCTTTTTCTCTCTATTTAACCTATTTAAGCTACTGAAACAAATCATACAAAATATTATTGATAGGTCTCTTCCTATTTAAACTTTTTATCTCTATTTTGTTGAATATTTATTATTACGAGTTACGAGTAGTTTCTTTCTTTTTCTTTTTTCTTTTCTTTTTTAAACGTAAAGAGAAGCAATAAATTTTGAATTTTGCATAAAAATGGCAGTGCACTCCTAAATAAAAAGCCAAAGTAAGTAAGTCTAACGCCCGTCTTTTTGCTTCATTAAACTGACCTGTCGAGTGAGAGTATACATCCTATTGTATACCCCGTTGTCTGTTATCCCAAGCACTGAAAATAGATGTTTGAGACTTTCACCGGGATTTTGGAGAGTGTACTCGATGTAATACAACCCTGATCAAGAGTGACAATCAGCAGTGGCCTTAAACTCAAATTACCTCAAAATATCGAGCAAGTATAAACTGCCTAGCTTTTACGCAAAGGAAATGGGAAGTGACAACTGCTTCAGTGTGATAAGATCACTTTAGTTTCTGAAATTTAGCTATGTGATTCCTCAATCGGAAGTACCCCTAAATAACATCGCGACCAGTCAAGTTTTATCGAGTGTTTTAGATTGTGTCGTATACCTTTAGAAGCTTTGCTATCTATGAGTTTTGCTTTCACTCCTGCAGGACTTTGCCAGCTTCTGTCTAATCCACTAACCTGTAACAAATCATTGAGAACTGAAGTAAGAATACCAATGAAGCAAAAATATAAAAGAAAAGGAGAGTTTTTCAAAAGTAAAGATGGACTAAACCCCACCAGATTCTCGGCAAAAGCATCAACTTTCCATATTATCTGGACCACTTACCAGAAAAGTTTTCTGTTTGGTCATTTAATTAGTATTGAATAGTGGTGTCAGTTATATGCAGGTGGACATTGAGGGATAAAGTTGTAGGAGATTTAGTTTGGTTATTGAGATGGAAAAGAGGAATTGGTTGTGGAAAAGGAGACCTTCTGAGAAGAGCAGTGGAGAAACTGAGAGTTGTTGTTCATTGTCATCACATTCAGAGAGACACTCTGATGAGCAGGTACAAGCCAAAAAAAAGAGGTTCTCATTGTTCATAGGTTGTCTTGACACTCTTATAATTAGTCGTGCTGATATGAAGAAGGCTAACCTCGTCACACACTTGATAAAATACATTGCTGATTTCTCACATCCACATACTTAAAGCTTTATATGAATGATTTTAAACTGATAATGGTCGAACGAAATATGCTGCTCACATTTTCATAGTTAATAAGAGTTAAAAGTTATATTATGTATTAAATTTATGCACCTGTGCAAATTTTAAGTTTTTATCAACTTAAGATCAATATTCAAAGATTCCAATTCTGAAGCCATGCATCTCAGATCCAATATAGGTGTGAAAGACTTCAGCATGGAGCTGATTATGTCAGTCCCACATATAGTTAAGCAGCCAAAAACATCTTTCATTATCTGTGAAGAGTATCTATCTAGAGAAAGAAATAATGATTGGCAGTTTGCTGAAGCAACAGATGATCAAGTTTTATATACAACAATATATTAAGGCTCAAACAACCTATACATCACAATGTCCAACTAATACCACATAGTCTGAACCAGACTAACAAAAACAGGACAAAAGAAACATAAGGAGCTGGAAATGTTCCTATAGTTGTGTATCAGCACAAGGTCATTTACTCACTACAGAAGAGCATTTCAACATCTTATGTCATTGTGTTGCTAATTAAGGCCAAATCTATCGAAAATATAACAGAAGAAGCCTCGAAACACTTCTTTCAAACAGTAGAAATTACAAGCAAACACTTCTTTCAAACACTCAATTGGTGGAAATCTTAGCAATACCATTGCTTTGGCCACAGAATTTTAAACAAAAACCAGAAATTTAAGCCTTCAACCCAGAAATTTAAACAGAAACAAATTAAAAAAACCAACCCAGAAATTTAACAAAAACTCAAGTTGAGCTGCTAAAACCAACCAAGAATTTAAAGAAAAACAAATTTAAAAAGCTGCTAAAAATTTAAAAATCTGCTAAGAATATATTTACCGAGTTGTGAGCCTAGAAGCGATTTTCGATTGTCGGAACAAAGGAGATTTTCGATTATGGACGAGCTTGGACGAGATTGACGATTTTTCGGAGCTTGGTAATTTCCGATGATTTTTCGGAGCCTGGAAACTCGATCGATCTCCTCAAAATTTTCGATGAAACTATGGAGGAGGAGCGTAGCCTGGTAATTTCCGATGAAACTAATCGAAGGAGCCTCGTAATTTCCGATTGAAAGAATTAGGGGATTTTCGGATGGAGCCTGGTAATTTTCGATAGAATTTGTTATATTTTAGGGTTTAGGTATATATATTTTCGATTGAAACAAGATATAAAACTAAAAAAGAATAATAATCAGATTGTGGGCCCCACCTTATTTTAGCGGGTATTAAAATTTTGGGTAGAAAATAAGGAGGGAACTAAAATGACCGTAACAATACATCCAACCGTTACCATAGATATATCTATTCCTACGGTTATACAAACCGTTGCGATATACACATATATAGGAACGATTATTGAGACTATTGCAACGGTTCAGTTGCTAAGTATCCCGGTAGTTCCAACAATTATTTGTAACGGTTATAACCGTAACAATAGAATGCCTATCGCAACGGTTATGAATCCGTAGCAATAAAAAGCGTTGCCATAGCTCCAATTTCTAGTAGTGAATATATTTTATTTTTCAAAAAAATGCCCACATGTACAGGAGCCACGTGGCAGGCGAGTGCACCCACACTCTTTGCCACATCAGCGTCTGTCACGATCCAGATTTCTCACCCTCGGGAGTCGTGATGGCGCCTACTCGTGAGAGCTAGGCAAGCCAACTACTATAATTTTATCACATTAGCAATCAACCCAAACAGATATAAACAGTAACTAAAACTAAGCAGATATAAAATGCGAAAGTGTTATAACAAAATCAATACTCCAGTACATGTCTACCCAAGAATCTGGTGTCATAATTTCACGAACATCTACGAATGTCTATGTCACGACCCAATTCCCAAGCCCGGTCGTGATGGCGCCTCTCGTGAAGACAAGGCCAGCCAGACCAATACAGGACACTTCTTTTAAGCAGTAAATCACCATTTAAGCAATTATGAAACATGATTTAATAACAACAATTTGCGGAAACATAGATAATAATAGTAGAACCATCCCGACACAGCCCAAACCAGAGTGTCACAAGTCACGAGCATCTATTAGAGTGAAGTTACAACTACAAGCCGAAAATATACAAAATAGGATTTATAAATAAAAGGAAGAAATGCGGTGCCACGAACGCTGGCAGTCACCTCGCTCAACTTTGATAGCATAGTCTCTAATCAGCTCAAAACCCGCTACCGGGTGAACAAATACCTGCATCTGCACGCGAGGTGCAGGGACTAAAGTGAGTACTCCAACTCAGTGAGTAATAAAGGTAAATAACGTCAGAGCAGTAAGAAATCACGTAAAGCAACCAATATGCTGTATAGAAGCAGGGTACAATCCTTTGAGAAAATAGTGAAACTGTGAAATTCTTTGGAAATCTCTTGGCTCAGTTTAAATCTCTTTTGAAAATGATCTTTCCAACAGTTATGAAATTATTTCAAAATAGTTAGTGCCGATAAGCACAGAAAATTCGCCCCTCGGGCACAAGTACCACAGTATAACAGGAAAAAGATAAGTAAATGTGCAAGATGAGCACGTAAAAGTTCGCCCCTCGGGCAATATCTCAAAACAGTACCAGCCCTTCGGGCTCACTCTCAGAAACACTCTCAGCCCCTCGGGCTCTCTCTCTCTCTCTCAGATCACTCTCAGAACAGTATCATATAGTAACCGCTGCGGCGTGCAGCCCGATCCACATATCGTTGCGGCGTGCAGCCCGATCCATATGGGTACCCGCGCTCACTGTGGGGGTGCAGACTCCGGAGGGGCCCCTTACAGCCCAAGCGCAATATCAAGCCACCTCGTGGCATATAACATAAGTCCTGAAAGCCTTCTCACATCACACTCAAGGCCTGAAAGCCTCCTCATATAACACTCGAGGCCTGAAAGCCTCCTCACATAACACTCGAGGCCTGAAAGCCTCCTCACATCACTCACATATATCCTCACATATGGCCCTCAGCCTTACTCAGTCCAGAAAACATCATAAGCCCCTCGGGCATCAATAAAATAGTAGCGCTCAGCCCAAACAACAGTGGAAATATCATTTAAGTCTCAAAGTTCAATTAAAGTGGCTCAGTTTGTAAAACAGTATAATCAACAGGACTGAGTTCAAGTAGTATATCAAAATAGTGAGGAAACAGTGATAAAAATCCCTGAAGGGTTCAGATAATTGGCGCGAAGCCCAAATATGGCAATCAACCCAAATCGTGATAATAACAAATAAGTTTCAGTCAAATATGCGGTAAAATCATCAATCGGGACGGACCAAGTCACAATCCCCAACGGTGCTCTACCCCACGCTCGCTATCCGGCGTGCAAGTCACCTCAATATAGCACTATGATGTGCAAATCCGGGGTTTCAAACCCTCAGGATATCATTTACAATCATTACTCACCTCGAACCGGTGAAATCTCTAGCTCGCGACGCCTTTTCCCCTCCAATCGGCCTCCACGCGCGTCGAATCTATCCAAAAATCAGAGCGAATACATCACAATAGGCTAAGGGGACATAACCCAATCGAAAAGAATCGAAAAACATCGAAAGTCACGAAATTTGCAAAACCCGAGCCCCGGACCCACTTCTCGAAAAATCAGAAAATTAACATCATCGGATTCCTCATCTCTCCACGAGTTTATGCATACCAAAACTACCAAATCCGAGCCGAAATGACCCATCAAATCCCATTTTGAAATACCAAAATTTCCAAGCCCTAGCTTTACCCTCTTTTGATGAATTTCCAAAAATTTCTATGTTAATTCTACCATTAAATCATGTATTAAGGTCAAGGAACTCACCTCCAATCACACCTAGTCGAAATCCCCTTCAATTTCTGCCCAAAAGCTCTCAAGGTCGATCAAAAATGGAGGAAATGAACTTAAGCTCGCGGAACCAAATGAGTTTTAAAACCCTTCTCTGAACAGTCTTTTTCGCATTGTGGTTACCTTTCCGCATATGCGACTACCACTTCTGCGGTTTTCCATCCGCTTCTGCGGAACTTACTAATACGCCCAAGACCGCTTCTACGGTCCAATCCCGCTCCTGCGATGACCGCATCTGCGCACAACCTATCGCTTCTGCGGAACACCCTTCACCAACACGGACCACTTCTGCGGTCAGCAACCGCATTTGCGGAGACCACTCCTGCGGAACCCCTCCGCTTCTGCGAAAATCCTCCACATAGCCCACACTCTCACCTGCTACCAAATCTTTGCATCTGCGGTATCGCTTCTGCGGCCCCTTTTCCGCAGATGCGGAAATACCAGATATCAGCAAACCAGTAAATTTCACAACTCCAAAATCCATCCCGATGGCTATCCGAAATCACCCCGAGGCCCCCGGGACCTCAACCAAAAGTGCCAACCCATCCTAAAACATCATTCAAACTTGCCCCAATCGCCAAAACACCTCAAACAACACCAAAACCATCAATTCACATCGAATTCAAGCCTAAGTTCTTCTAAAACTTACGAAACACGCATTTGATCAAAAACCCAACCAAAAAACCTCCGAATGACTTGAAATTTTGCACAGACATCCCAAATCTCATAACAAAGCTACAGCAACTCTCGGAATTCCATTCTGACCCTCGGATCAAAATCTCACCTAT